ACAAAAAAAACAACTGATCATTAATTCGTTCTAATAAGCCCAAACATGGTATATATTTTGTAATTATCTGAGGAGTTGGCTATCTCGCAGACTACTTGATGCAGCAGTAAGTACCAGATTATATTTTGTGGAAATTCCATCAAAGTAACAGTATACCAAATTTCAGATCAATCGGACCTGTCGATTTCAGTGAGATCCCTTCATCATCTAAGAAGTGAGCTGATGATCTTCAAAATGTATAGCTAAGAAGCCATCTCGATCACATCGGCTTTCGGACAGAAAGATCCGCATCGAAATTGGACAATCCGTTTTGGAGCTATGATGTCACCTTCAGATACACAGATATGCAGATACACAGGTTAAACTTATAACATCAATCGTCTTCCGTCGGCGGTCAAAAACCAGAGTAGTCGCAAGCTACTCTCAGGCCTCCGTCGTGAGTATTACTGACAGTACCATTAAAAATGGGAGTAGAGTATAACATGTATTAAGCTCTTTTTTTATGTGCGGAAATCCCCTCGGATACCACTTACCGGTGGCAATGTCGGACTCGAACCGACTAAAACCGCACGCCGTCTCAGGTACCAGTAGTCGGGGAACCAGGTGTACCCTAGAAAGGAAATTCCTGGTGCCCCGACGTACCTCTTGCCATCTACGTCGGGTAGACGACCCACCCCTGTGTGGAAACCTCACCTGTCACCCCCAGGCCTGCGCTTATGGAGAACGGAGGTCGTTCTGCGATCTCCGGCGCCTGAGTTGTCTGCGGTACCTGGCCTGTTCTCGAGCCTGCCGGGCTGGGAGAGTTCTAAACCTCTCCCGGTCCCGCTCCGCTATCTCCCTCGAAACCATAACTTGCTCGCAGAAGGAGACGCACTATAGCTCCGCACGATAGCCTCAATCAGGTTATCGAGCGAGAGAACTCCCACACCGATGACCGCCACGAGGACTCGCTTCTATTCCACCCACGCCGGGCATTCTGCCAGCGTGTGGAGCGCCGTGTCCACGGTCCGACCATCGCAGTGGTGGCACTCAGGCGTTGGCTCTTTGCGGATCAGACACAGGTGATACCCGAAACATCCTTACCCAGTGATCACCTGCGTCAGTCGGTATGAGAGGGTCCCGTGACGGCTCTCGAGCCAATCCTCCATAACGGGCCTTACCGCTGCGATGACGGCGTGCCCGATGTATGTGCCCCTATTATTTATTCTTTAAATAACACAGATTTTTTTATTAACAATCCGTAATCCTAACCCTGAGATGCTAGTAGTGTTGTGAGTTCGCACATTTTTTAGTTTGACATCCTTTTTGTCCATTTAATTCCAGATTTGTAAAGTTGCCCGCTACACAGATATTTTTTATTCAGTTTTTTGTTTTATTTAATAATTGTTAGAGACAGTTCCACAATTTTCTTCATTAATAATATAATTAAATGTCAAGAACCACTTTATCGCAAAAGATCCATCGTTATTCGAACAAGCTACTCTTAATTTGACCCGTGTAAAAGCAACAATTGACAACTGGTAGACGTTACGTGACTAGCATCGATATACCTTTCGGCCTTCGAGTAAGTTACTAAGGTCTTGCCTTCTTAATTTACTAGGTATATTCGTAAGATACGTTTCTCATTCAACTAAGATGGCGATTCTGTAATGGCTATTACCCTTAACGCGTGTAAGTCAATGTATACTGTCAGTTTACAAGGCTAGTAGGTTAGTATAGAAATATATGTGGATGTGTAGACACGGCAAACGAAATACCTCAGCAGTAGTACTAAGTACCTACCTATGATTTTATTGAACTATGACCGAAGAAATTAAAAGTAATAACGCAGAATAGTTTTCAAACAATAATAATTTCCAAATCAATGATTGAAGAAACGAGTTATTTGCAGTTCACAAAACATGTAAACGTATAATAATACTTACCGGAATAACACACACATGTAAATCTGACCAGATAGTACGTTTGCCATGTGTATATATGCTTTCTGTCCTACTATCTGTTCTCTAGTTTTTATTTTACTTTCTTCAATAAATAAGACTTCCTTTAAGGGGTTTTTAAGCCTACATTCAATATATTACCTACACAGTTCACTACATAATTATTAAGATACAAGGACTCTTTGTGTGTGGTTCTGGGTATTTTATTTCTGATGTAAATAGATAGTAAGGCGGCAAACTATCGTCAAGGAACGTTGGTGTTCACAAGAGTATTTAATACACGGATATACAGTCCATACTAGTGAAGCTTAAAATGTTACAAAAGGCATTCGCAAATAATTGTATGTCCGAAACTTAGGCAGACGAATGGTATAAATCATTCAAAGAGGTACCGTGGTCGAAGAGTTATCACGGGCTGGAAGGCTATCCACTTCAACTGAAGACGATCATGTCAATAAAGTGAAAAAGATCTGAATTTCATGCAAAAACAGCACAGAATGGACATTGCTAATCAGATGCTTTTCTAAAGCACGAAACGATTTTACGTTAATGAAACACATCATAATCGGTGATGAGACATGGGTCCACGAGTACGACATGGAAACAGAGCAAAAAGCATTCGAATGGTTCATTCCAGGTGAACACAATTTGTCGGAAACGCCCAGATTTGTGGGTGGAAAACGCCAACGCACTATCGGCGCCGTTCTGCCTAAGTGTGAGTGCGGACCTCTGGTGGCAGATTAACTGCTGCGGTAAGCTGCAGGCCTGGTCGCAAAATGCGATCGGGTCGCAAAGCTATATGTGACTGCGTCACCAGTTTCCTTGCGGACAGATACTCATGGTTCCTATATTCGGAGCCTTAGATCCGAAGGGATTTTCAACCCCGTCACAAAAAAAAAACAAAAAAGGCAACCTACTCACCAGATATGGCACCATGTGACTATTTTCACTTTCCTAAACTTAAATTGCAGCTTCGCGGAAAGTATTTTGTGACCGTAGAGGCGGTGAAAGAAAATACGACGAAGGCGCTGAAAGCCATCCCGATTTCGACGTATGAAAAGTGTTTCGAGGACTGGTTGAAGTGCTGGCGTAAGTGTATTGCCTCTAATGGAAGTTACTTTGAAGAGGACAAAATAAATTTGGATAATTAAAATTACTCCTTGTGTTTTCTTAGCAAATTCGGGGTACTTTTGTGACACAGTAGTATATATGATGATGAGGCGAACATAGATTGCCAGAAGTATGAGTATTGCGGATTTTTATCCCTAAGTTATTAACATTTATCCCACACCTAAACATTTGGAAGCCTAAACATATGTATCAAAGTCAGTCATAACATTTATGTAAACTTAGTTAGCAATAAATGTTTTCACTTTGACTTTGTTTTGTAAGAACCACTCACATGCTATAATGTAGTATTATGAGGATCTAGAAAATTATATTTTAGCATAAAAATTATTTTAAAAGATTTTTTTAGCAATAAATACATATAACTAATATAAAATTACATAATTGCACAAATTATACATATAAATATACATGATTATTAATATAATTTATATTCGTACATTGTGAATAACTATAAGGAGGTGTACTATTGATTAGGTAACGCCGCCGTCTCGTCAAGAATTTAATTATAATTGTGTACATTATTTTTATAAATGTAAAACGGTTTGTAGACATCCTGATTTTAAGTGGGAGAGCATTCCAGAGTAGCATATATTGTATTTGGTTACTTTACTTATCTTAATCTACTGTCCTGATAATCAAAGCGTTCTACTTTACGAAATTGGGTCAATATTAACGTATATACGAGTATACACTGGAAGAACGCGAAACTTTATCCTAAAACAGTAGTGTCAGGAAATAAGTTCTTTACCTATTTCGTTCGTGGTTCTACAGCTTCAGGCACCACGGATAGCCGTTTCTATCCATTCAATTTCGTAACTTATAGAAAGAAAATTACTTGTAAGATTAACGTTAAGGTTTAAACCCTCGTCACATAATTTTTAGCCTTAATTGATATCATGGGTGATTTACATAAGTATAGGTACCAGTTTCAGTTTCAGACAGTTTGGTTTCGCTAATTTGAGTGAACAGACCTATTAACACATAAAGTAGGTACGTTTTGTTCTTTATATCATTTGAACATATTGCGTTATAGATCATTTAAACGTAAGCACTCTGGAACAAATGCTTTTTTTACGAGCTACGAGCTTATTTCCAAATTGCAAATTGGGTTATTTCAATAAAATCGCTTTATATTCACGTTTTGCGTGAACAGGATACTGGAAATAAAAGAAGGATGAAGGAGAGAGTCGTATTGCAATCGAGTGTTTGTGTCTGAACCGTATGAAGTAAGCCGCGAGTGAGTGGCGCGGCGTGAGTGCGCAGCGGCGCGAGTCGTCGATAGCGCACCGGCCTGACGTCGCCGCGAGACGGCGCACTCCGCACCACCCGTCACCCTCCGCGCCCCGCGACCACGAGCTACGACGCACGTCACACTCGACACCCGCGACACCCTCGCCACCCTTGGTGAGCCAAACCGATCACCGCGCCACCGGGCACGCGCATCGCTGACATTAAAGTGACTGTTTACTGTGTTACACGACCAGGCATTACAATAGTCACCATCCAGTGATCTAAAGAAGATATGACCACGATTCAGTGCTGGTGAAAACAAACACATCACAGAGCATTAGCGCAGGCGCGCCGCCAGCGGACATGAAGAGAGCGGCCATCTTGGTCGAGGACGCACTTTCGCCTCGCCCCAGCTTCAAAGTTTGTTACAGAAGCTTCGTATAAGCTTAAGAGAGGTGCCATGCGTCGAGGCCTAAGCTCCGCGGCGTGCGCCCTCTGAGGCCGCACCGTGCCGCTATCGATCCGGTAGCGTCATGGCGCCCGCGGAGTGAATGCGGACATCGGGACAACGGCGCAAACCCCGTAAGCCCGCGGAGTGCCTGCCCAGTGATAGTGCTAGAGTGGTCGCGCGGTATGTGAGACAGAGTGACGACGTGGTTGGGAGGGCGCGCGGGCGGCGGCGGGCCCTGACCGCGCGCCATGGGCGAGGAGTACCCGCGCTCACCCTGCGAACGCTTCCCGGCGACGGGCGCGTTCAGCGTGGCGCCACCGGAGCGGCTCAGCCCACCGCCGCCCGCGCCGCTGCCGGATCGGTTTTCGGCATCCCCACGGAGGGTACGTCGTTGCGCCGAGGCCGAACGGGCACGGCGGCCGCGGTACGTGCCCCCAGCGGCTCATGTGCCGGTGGAACGGTATGTCCCGCGGCCACCAGCACCGCTGCGGCCACCGCCACCGGTCTACTGCGGGTTGGCGTGCCGGCCACCGCCTCCAGCGCCCCGCAAGTGCTGCGGGCCCGCCTGCCGCGAGGATATTTCTGGTTCGCCTCCCCCGTCCCGTTATGTGGAATACGTGGGAGCGGCTGCCGCACGACGACTTGCTTGCACGCCACCGCCACCGCCACCACCCGCACTCCAGTTGCCGTGCGAGCCGCAGGAGCCACCTTGCTGCGTACAGGCTCGGAGAAGACCGCAGCCTCCACATGATTGGTAAGTACCAATCTTCTAGGAACATTGTTACTCATTTCAATTTTAGGGCATGAGAATTTTAAGCACAGTCAAAACAATCAAAGTTTGATTTATGATCGAAAGATTGTGATTGTAGTTATTGTGTGATACAACTTTGATCGATCGAAAACTTTCGTGTTTGTTTCGTAACACACCGTATTAGATTCTACGCAATATTTATTTTAATTTGAATTTATAGCTATATTCAAAACCTTCGCGTCGTCGGTACTCGGTACATTATTTTTAAAAAACAATCATAGCATTAATTTTCTACAGTTTGGTCAACGTTGTTCCATTTGACACATCAAAATATTGGTTCTTACATGTATGTCATTGTATTCTAGAACGCACTCAATTAGATAATTGTGTACTTCGACAATGATATGTAACATTCAATTACTATTTTTTTTTTAATTTAATCAAAGAAGAACGATAGGATTTAATATTATTAATATAACTTCAAACATCTAACACGGCCGTCTGATTTCAAACTGGGCAGAGCCTGTTTCTCGTAATAAAATTTCGCTCAAAATTCAGTTCCGATCTTCTCGAAACGAGATCGAATCTCACAAATGTAAAAGTTGTATAACATTAAAATATTAAATATCAAAAGTTCACTGTAATGTGATTATTTCGTATTGTGACCGAAAGTTGAATCAGCAATCAGCCAGTCTTAATAGTACTTTACTACGAAAATACTACATTTTGAACGAATTTTCATTACGAGAATTGACTCTCAGACTGCAGATAAATATGTTTACAGACAGTCACAGACCAAATGATCATCACATAATTATTTCTCCTGGCTGCGAATCAAATCCTCAAATTCTGGTTTAGCTGTTAGAAATATTAACCACTACACCAACAGGCTAACGTTTTAATTACCAGTCATGAACACTCTGTGTCACGCTTCTATGTTTATTTTTGTCTTGTTGATTGATTAATCTCTTGTCAATTTGATATTGAAGTAAAATTTCGATAGGTTCTAGAAATACGCATAAGAATAAAAATGTGTCACATTGAAACTATTCGATGTTTATGTGTACTACCTGCATTAATGATATTTATTTAATTATATATTTCTTCGAATTTGATTTTGCTTTTGGGTACTGAAACACAGTTAAGCGAATCGTTCAATGGATCATTCTAAAAATAATAGACCCCATTGTTCTCGCCCATTAGGTGCCAAGTGGGTACGAGCATGTTCAAAACTGTTGTAATGTAGATCTATGTAAGCTTAAACGACTTATATGACTAAATATGACTAAAATAAATTAAAATATGGAGACACATATGGATCCCTTTTTAACTAAATAACACCTAATATAAGCGGTGGCCTTTCTTACAAGCAGGTTGTTATTTCTATTAGATAACCTATTACACTGAGCAGTTTACGTTGTGTTTATGTAACAAGTATTGATATTGAATATTAGTAGTGCGTAACTTACGATAATATAGGTATCTATTGTTTTGACCTCAAATTATTTTAAAATACGTCCACATACAAACACCATTTTATATCCATTGCGCTTCTGCCGCTTCTGGCATTTGGCAGTGTATATAAGAAAGCAATACTGGTAATGAGAAGTAATAAGAATATTACTTTTTTGTTTATTTCAGGCAGCAGCATTCTAAAATAATTTTAGTTTTTTTTTGTAGATTAAAGTAACTATACTATATGCTGCTTCTAGACTTCCATCTTCTTCTTAATACTAAATATAGATCGAAGAGCTTGTCTATGATTTGTTTCGAATTTTTTCTTTAGTGTTTATGCAGTATGTACGTTCAAAGGCCAAATTTAATAGATCAATCAAAACAACTGGTGGTTAACATGTTAAAGAATGCACACATGAAGGTCTACATTGCCGGTACAGCTGTCATTAATGTGAAACAATTAACGATTCTCCGAGGATATCATTAGTGGCGCATCAGCCACCTAGCAAGAGTAGTAAAGGCTATGGACCCCGCGCATCAACGCTTTCTGAAGTGTCTACTTATTACGATCGAAGTGTGAAAATATTTTAAGAAAAATATAGCCACAATTCTTATCACGAAGTTGCACCTAAGTGTCGAACAATAATTTAAACTTTTAATACATTTCGAAAAGTGCAACCCGATGCTTGCGACGTCCAAGCTGGTCAAATTGCCAGCGTGTGCTGATCCGAGTTCTCACGGCAATCGCAGTGATCACAGGCGGGACTCAATTCCCTTCTAGAGCTTGAGTGCAGGACTAGCCGTACCCGGAAAGGGCCTGCATTAGTCGAAAGAAAAGGGCTACGGCGGCAAAGCCAGCACGTGGAGCCTCCAGCCAGGATAACCAACGAGCCTCGCGCAACTCGCGTACCTCTTCGGGGGCAGCCCATAGGTGCACCCTATTCTGGGCGGTCAGAACCGTCGTCCACTCCGGTGCACCGTACAGTGTCATTTACCAGATAACCTCCGCATACATCCGTCTTGTCACGATTCTGGGTCCACTAAAATTGGCAAAAGTCGCCTAAAGGCAGACGCAGCGACAACCAGCTCTGGGGCAAGCTGTCGTAAGCACTCGTCGAAGAGCCACCACTCGTCAAGGATACTTTATCTAGACCTGAACCGGTACGATAACCGAGTCGAGGCACCATTGGATGCACCACGACGGGGCTCATGAAATAAGAGGGCCTCCGTCTTATCCACCCTGATACGCCTGATCACCAAAGAATCAATCAAATACCCAAATAATCAATCAAATCAAAATGACATAAATAAGCAGAATTTCTCTCGACAATTTTCCTATGTACTTTTGAGTTGTTACACTAATCGACTTTATTGGAATTGATTATATTATAAGATTTCAACATCGGTACATACAAATCAAATATTGTAACGTATGGTGTTTTCTGAAAATGCAAAGCACTATTAATAGGACGAATACACATTACATGTAGATGAGTTACATGATTTTAGAAAGTTACAATTTTACGATTTATGAAAAGTACTGTTTTGGCGTTTAGCGGTATAAGATGTGTTCTCTTCTGAACCTCAGACAATGTGCTTGAAAATTTGTTTTGGGATCTACTCAGTAATAAATGTAAAGCATAAAAAACAAATTTACTTTTATAATATTAGATATAATATGCATTTGGTTTCATGGGCGATATAGAAAATAAGATTTCATTATTTTTCCTTAAACTTGGGGAATGAACACATGATCTCCGGACTACTCAAGAGATATAATTTCTAGACCAACACATTATAAAACTATGGACGTATATATAGTACACATATGTTTAAGTACAGATATAAAATATATATTGCCAACAATAGTCCTGTCAGTGATGATAGGTTGATCGCACTACAAATATTGCACGAACATTTTCGTGAACTGGGTCGGGTACCTCTTGCACGGTAACTTGATAAACAGTCACGTGATTATATTTAAGATCAAAGTTGCTGATAGACTATTCTAACCGCTTCTGATGTATATGCAGATATTAGCTGGTTACAAGACGAGACCAACGTGAAATTTTTTGGCAGAGGCTTTTTCCAAGAAGGTGGATGATCTGACCTTGAGGTTCTACCTCAAGGTCAGATCATCCACCTTCTACTCTTTATCCGTAACAGTAATTTTATCAGTCATTACACAGATAAGACCTTGAGTTTCCCAAAATATTTTTCGTCTTCTGAAGAGGTCACCCAACCGTAGCTGTACACAATTAATAAATCTTCGGGCCAATTTACAATTTGATAAAAAGCTTATATGCAGTTCTTTACTATTCCATATCGTCTTAAGATTAGTGATATTAAGTAAAAAAAAGTACTACCGGGTTGCGTGATTCCTTTTCAGCTGAAAGACACGAAGTTTTATTTATTTACTGTCTATAACAATAAGCAATAAGGTAAGTTTAGTTATTGTTGAAGTTGTCAATTATTTTTACAATACTTCAATCAATTATTATAACTTAGCCCGAGTGTTATTCGAGTTCGAATTTTATATGATATTTTGTCTGTGACAGCGCAGTAGTGAAATAGATACTAAACTATTCAATAACGTATGACACCTTAAGGAGAGGATGTCGAAAATTCTTACTTTTTTAACTTAAACCTCCATAAAGAAGTAACATTGAAAACGCTTCCGCTTTTGCTTGTAATGTCTTTATGTTCATATGCTATGGTCTCAATGATATTTAGAAGCTTTAAATGTTTATGAACTCTCATAACCTAGATACGACGGTCTCTGCTTTTCGACATAACTTTTTATGTCAATGGTATCTTTACAAGGACGTACTTAAACAGTTTTCATTCTATGTACAATGAAAGCTTTTCAAACAATTCGAAATACATCTTTTTCTAGGTAATGATTGTGATGATAAAAATAATATTAATAGTCGTACATACACGAAGGCTTGAAGGCATAAAAAAATATGTAAAAGAGATCTTATTAACACAGTAAAAAAACGAATGTAAAAATCCATGCTCCTCTATGCCCCTATTTTATTATTATACTCTATGATTTTACTAAGTAATAGCATAGGTTAAAGGAAAAACCTCATAACTCACTTGTGACCTGGTTTCATATCCAAGCTGGAAAATCCATAGATGAACGTTTATAATAATCACATACCTCGGATATCACGTAAAGCTTAATCGTTCGTGATATTGTGGGTCATTAATATTATGATAGAGATGTAAAGGGCCTACCTAATAAATTTTGTTCAAAAAGTGAATTTTAACAGTCATTCCGTTAGAAAGTCCTTTTTTATGAGGTTGTTGGCAAACCAGCAGAATTATTGAACAACGGTACCTAAAGGGTTACCGGCACCTATAAACATTTCCTACAACAACAATGTCACAGTGACTTTTGTTACCCTGCTGAATGTAAATAATATTATGAGCATATATGACATAGCATTTAAAATTAACTAACTATTAAAAAGACAAACATCTATTGGTAAAAAGATATATAGACTTTGCGCTACTTTATATACGTAGTTTTTTGTTTAGGTCAAC